GCCCTAAACCTTAAGCCCTAAACCCCAAAGAGCAAAAAACCCTCAACGCCGCGCGCCTTGGTCGCCTTGAAAAGTCGCTCCGCCAGCGGCCGGATGTTCTCTGTCTCATTGTACGTGGGCACCTAAAATGGGGGTCCCGAATAGTTTAGGGTTTAGGGTCTAGGGTTTAGGGTTTCTGGGGTTCCTTCAAAGGGTTCCTTGAGGGACTTCAGGGCTTCTACAAGGGCGACTATAAGGGTTCAGGGTTTCGGGGCCTCAATAAGTAGCCTAGGGTTTTGGGGGGTTCCTTTCAAGGGCTCCTTGAGGGCTTCTACAAGGGCTATTTCTTTTTCCGCTGCCTGCAGACGTAGTTCGAGCTGAGCTTCCCCCTCGGCAAGCCGTGGATCCTACAGCCCAAACCCTCAACCCACACACCCCGAAATCCGAGATGAACCCTGAATCCTCAAAGCCTAAACCCCCAGCCATAAACCCTTGCCCTTATGCACTTGTGTATTATAGGGACCTTAATAGTTAGAATAGGGTTTGGGGCCATTGTGAATATAATTATAAGAAAGAACCGCCAAAATCGCATTGGTAATTATTTAGGCCCTACTTACATTAGGGTTTAAATTTGCGGCTTATGTACCGACGCTTGGAATGTAGCAACACGGAACACGACATCAGAAGGTGGAGCTGCAAGCTGATATTCACAGTGCCATACTCAGGCCGATTGATTTTCTCGCCGGCATCTCAGGCAACGAATCAGGACATACCTAGATGATCATCAGCCTCCAAAGACACCGGCCACAAACTTGTCTGAACCTGAGCCCCTTAGTTCCAAAGCCCCCCATTCTGAACTCTGAACCATGGGCGTAACTCCTTGTGTGCGAGCCTTTGCCAGTTCATTCCCATCAGATGAAGACTAAACCCTAAACCCTAAACCCCGAACCCCTAAACCCCTAAACTCTAAACCCTAAACCCTAAACCCTAAACCCTAAACCCTAAACCCCAAACCCTAAACACTAAACCCTAAACCCCCAAACCCTAAACCCTTACGGCTCAAAAGGCGCTGGGCATTGCATCTGAAGGGCAATGACAGAAAGCTCCTTCTGCCCGTCCTCGCTTTTCGAGCCATCTGCAGCAGAAGGGGCGGATCTAACACCATCAAGAAAGCAGCCAGGCCAAAACCCGTCTATACCTGGCATAAGGCTGCCAATAACGCTGAACCCTCAAGATGACAAGACGGCTTTGAAACCCTCCAACGAGCAGGAACCTGCAGCAAACAGGTTTTAGCGTTTAGGGCTTTGGGGTGTTAGGGCGTAGGGTGTTTAGGCTCTCAAAGGACCTAGCGTTTTAGTGCTTCGGGCTTTAAGGCTTTAGAGTTTTTTGGGGGTCTAGGCTTTGTAATGCTGCAAGGGTTTAGGCTTGCAGCCGACTCTTGAGTTTCTGAGGCCTGTCACATGCATCCGCGAGGTATATACCACGGTTTAGGGTCTAGGGTTGAATACTTAACTTGGAACCTTGAGGAAAAAGATCACTGATTGATTAGTCTAAGGGCTGATTCGTAGAGAGGTTTCAGTGCTTTGAGGCGGCTTTTACTTTAGGGCTTAGTGTTGAGAGGCTTGTGGGTATCATGGGAGATATGGGGCTTCACTGCTGAAAGAGTTGAGGGTTTAGGATTTAGGGTTGAGAGAGTTGAGGGTTCGGAGTTGAGGGTTTAGGCTCTAGAGTTCTGGGCCGGCAGTCAGCTGAACGCTACATGCGGTTTAGGGTTTAGGGTTCAGGGCTTGTGGCCTCTACTGGGGCAACCAAAAACTCTGGAAGCTTGGGACATACCGCCTCGGACCTGCGTCCCAAACTCCCCCGAGGGATGAATATCAAGTTCGGTGACCTACTACGCCGAACAACTAATGGCTTACTTCCCAATAAGCCATGGAAATAAAAGCTTAAACTTTCAGATTACTACTAAGTTACAAGAACCCAGAAGTTTAAAGGTTGGATATAGGGGAACCAAAATTAGCTATATTAGCATCTCCATGTGGCATCGGCAGGGCCTCGTTCACAAGGAGCGCTTGTGACATAAGGGCTAAGGGAGACAGGGGTATAGATTGAGCTGAGCGTGCAGCCTCCCGTACCGCCACGGCGACGTTCGACCATCGCTCCTGTCGAGCTTTCAGGACGGGCCGTTCGGGTCGGGGGATGAAAGGGTTTAGGGTTTAGGGAAACTTCCAAAATGGCCATCAAGCCCGGTGCGCTGCCTGTGCTAGCACCTGAAAGGTTGCCCTGCCGACAGTATATACTCTAGCACCTTCACGTTTTAATCCTAGTACCATGCCAGTACGTCCTCGACTGAGATGTGCACAAACAGACCCTAAACCCTAAACCCTAAACCGTAAACCGTAAACCCTAAACCCTAAACCGTAAACCCTAAACCATAAACCCTAAACCCTAAACCCTAAACCGTAAACCCTAAGCCGTAAACCCTAAACCCTAAACCCTGTGCACAAACAGACCGAAGCATTCCGGTCCTTGAAGGAGGCCAAAGGCTCCCAGCGCCAACTATGGCTGTGGAGCCAGAAGCGAGAGCGACGAACATGTGTTATAGGATACTTATGAGCCCCCAAAATCTGGTTGGCATTGGCTACGAAGTGTGGCTTGGCCCAAGTTTGGGCTCTTGCTCACTCCTTCTTGGGTGGACATCGTGGGTGCGCGAACGAGGCTGTGGCAGGAAGCGTAGGAAACATTATTCAAACAAGACGGTTAACGGAACAACTCAAGCTGCGAGCCCTCGTTCCTATTGCCAAGATGCGAATCTGCAGTTGCTGCTTTCAAGACAGCATGTTCTTCGCCTGTATGACTGCGGCTGAGGGGCGCCCCTACGATTACAGCAAGCACATCGCCGATACAGGGTCGACCCTCTGACTGTTGCGCCGTACCCTTATCGTGGGATAAACTCCGGATGAACTCTGCGTAAACCTTGGCTCCGAAAGCAATCGGGCCTGCAAACTATCCCCGAAGCAGGCGCTTCACAGGGGACTTGCACTCCAAGTCGGACTTCCGACGGTGTGTAGACCCAAAGCTGATTATTTCAAGCCCTAAGCGTTGAACCCCTTCAAGCATGCTTTTGCAAATGGACGCATGCCGCATGCTCATTCTACGATACACTGTACACATACATATATACATATATACAGACATACATTTATACATACATACATACA